AAAGGACGGAATATTCATCAATTATTTAAATAGAAAAAATTGAAAACGCGAAACTAAGTATAACCTAACCAAAGGCTTGTGACCATTTTAAAAAAATTGGACCAATGAACCAAACGCTGCAAAAGTTTGCGTGCCAAGCATGTGAACAGTTACCTTGTTTATATGGCATCAAACGCGGTATCGAATTAACTCGTGTCAGCGTAGCTCACTTGAAATGCAAGTGTTTATATGCAACACAAGAAATGAGTCGATCGAACACACTTTCAAACCGAGTTTATCCCGATGCAACCCTGTTAATACATGTGTCAATTCATTGTCAAAACATTGAAAAATAATAATTAAAGACTCAAACAGCCATGTAAAAATTATCTTAGCTATTAATTGTATAACAAAGCTTAGCATAAATGAAATTTTAAGAATTATTTAAATGCTTTACTTTATACAGAGTTGCATTAAACAATCGTGTGGACAAATTGCGTGTTTATATGCACTCTTGTATAAATTCGCCTTGGGAAAAGCATAACATCGCGCTCACGTATCGTTATCCCACATTTACACAAGCAAATGTTTATTGCCGCACAGCTATTTCTGTATGGGGGCATTTTGATGTCGTGATAGATCGAAATAAACATTTTTGGTAAATCTCAATTTGAGATACATTTGGGAATCAGTCCTTTTCTCAAATCTCACTCGTTAATTCTCAAATGCATCTCAAATAACCGTTGATAGCGTTCTCAAACTAAAAGGTACATATTTAATTTGTAATTTTCCTTTATTTTCAAATTGATAATTGTTGAATTCTCAATGATGAAAATCAAATTGAGAAATACGATTTTCTCAAACGTTTGAAATTTTTTATTCCAGTGTTTGTTAGGATGTACATAAGCATTTGCAACGTGACGCCCCAGACAACATTCTCTCTATTTTATGGCTTCGAAATTTCGAAACCCTAAATAACTTACTGAATCAGTTCCAATAGGAAACAGCTTCACTTTTGATTTAATATTGAAGTTTCTACGGTGTTGCTACCAACATGCTTTCGTTCAATTGAAAATGTGGCTGTCATAGTACCAAACTGACAGTACATTGCCGGCAATAAGCAATTTGCTGTCTCCATTGACAATTTATATTCTGATATAAACTTTTGCCTGTGGAAATGTGGGGTTAGCATTTGGTGTGAAAACATCAAATCAAAACTACACAAGGTGCACGCGTTGTCCAGAACTGCTCTACAGCTTCACAACATAGACGCTCTCTTAATGAATTTCGATGCGTGTGTAATTTAATGCCAACACTCAAGGATAAGTCGGTCGAACAAGCAGCATAGAAATTAAAGAAGAAACAAAAAAAATCAAATAAAAGCGATAATACACGTACGTAGTCCCCGCTTTATTATTTACCATTGTCTGAACATTAGGATGCCGCACTAAAAAAAAGTTAATGTTTCTCTAAACAAATTATAAAATTTGCTCGTTGCACGGTTCTAACCAAAAAGTATTCTGTCTAAAATCGGTGTCGTTCGTGAAGGGGAGATACTCTTGGAAGCTAGAAGAAAAAAAGTTTAACGGATTTGCAACAAAAAAAAATAAATAAACACCAACATATCGACCCCTTAGCGCGAAACTATCGTATGTACGTGGGAAAAACCAAATTTTACAGGAGAGCGTTGTTTCTACATTTCAAAATTTTTAATATAAAAAATATTTTTGTTTGGCACAAACGATAATTTCGCCCACACAAAAAAAAAATGCATTGAAACTTGCGGTAAAACACACAGTTAATTTTTGCCGTAATTCATTAGAGCGTAACAGGGAAGAATATTTTTATGACACAAAAATCCGCCGAAACTAAGCTTTTGAGAAGATTATAAACAACTTTTCTTCTTTTACACATATGGCGACCGACCCGCTTTAATGTACATGCATACAAGCATTTGTAATCGGGCAGATAAATGCGGTCTATGCACGCCTCACTGTGGGACCATGAGACGTTGTATCACGTCGTGCAAGCCGGTAAACTAATACGCTTACTTGCGCTTACAGAAATGCGTGTGTTGGTGTGTGTGTATGATAAAATCGACAGCATTAAGGCGTTACTGTGGGCTGGAGTCGGAAAGGGAAGTTGAACGTGGAAGGACGGTGCTTGCGAATTTTACATTGTTTCTACATCAGCTCGGTTACAAGTGTTTTTCTCCTAAGCACACATGTCTGCATACATAATTGCGTATGGCGCATACATACATATGTATATGTGTATGTATGTTAGGGCGGGTTAAGTTTTTTTTACTATGCGCGTATAGCATAGGAGGATTCTACGTGTAGTTCTAGGCTAACTTGCCGAAGAAACCATGGGTCTAAAATTAATTTGGAGTTCGCCAAATTGCAAAGATAGGTTTCGTGGAAAATATGAAAATTTTTACTGTTGCGCCTTCGGGGGTTAAGTTTTAAGAAAAATATAAATGCAGAAATGGATTCCTAATACCAAAAACCCTTACAACATCTTTTTATACAAAATTTAAGCACTTCTTTACTGAACTACAACAAAATGCTAAGAAATCTATTTTCGCAATTTGACAAACTCCAAATTGATTTTAGACCTATGGTTTATTGCGCACATTTGCTTAGAATTACACGTAGAATCATTCTGTGCTATACGCGCGTAGTCGAAAAAATCTCCCACACAAATTGACCCGCTCTAATGTATGTATGTGCATACATCGCTGCACGTTTATTGTCAACACAACAATTTGAAGCCTGGCTTAATTAAAAACAATGAAATTTAACTGTGAATCTTAACAAACGCCTGTGCTTCCGAATGCCTTCGCGGAGCCAACAATAAGCACCTATCCAGCTTTACATTTGAAGCGCTTCCTAGGGATGTGCTAGACTGGCGCATCTACGACGGACTGTATGCAAATAATGCAAAGAATATTTTATTTTTCCAAAATACCGCGACTTATGTCGTTCTTATTCGTAAAAGGTAATTTTGCGACTTACTGATGGGATATTTAGATTTAAGCATCCATTAGGAAGATCCAAGCCATATTGTATTTTCACTTTGCTTTTCACAGAATCATTAGACATTTGCCAATACTTTCATCTGACCAAAAGAGGAGACTATGTACATGTACTATCTCTTTGGCATTTTATGGAGCAATTAGGTTTCGAATAGACTTGAATGACTTGCCCGCTGAAATTAGCGATTAAATGCGGATGCACAAGGGGTTTCCCATTAGACAACTGCGGTTACGGTCTTCCCACCAGCTGGCTATTCCAGTTTTACCCTTCTCAAGTTATTTCTGTAAAGTTTTGCTACGCTATGCCTTATTATGTGAACAAACTTGCGCTGAGTTAGTATGCCAGTCTTAAGTCCTGGATTTATGCTCGGATGGAACGATAATTTTCTCTCGACACATCTGTTTCGGAATAAAGCTTCCCAATGGCTTGGGGAATGATCTTATTGAAAACCAATCCACCAGCGGTCATCATTCTAATAGTAGAAAACCATTTAGGACAGAACAGCCTGGAGGTGGAAGTGCGCCGTCGGAAGCTCTGGCAATTAGACGCCAGTTATGCGAGCTTGTCAACGACTTGCAATCAATGACGAGACTGCGTTCGATCATTTTCGTAACAACACTTTTCGGGGTCTCAACGATAAAGGATTTCTTTCGGCTCTAATTTAGTACGAAGACAATTCCTGTTGTACTTTTAGTGAGGTTTAAATATCTGGATATCCCCGATGATTTGATTAAAGATTCTTGAAGCTGGTGACAAAATTATCTGCTAACTGCCGACTCGCTGCAAATCGCAATAAAACGGATCTTGTACTATTCACAAGGAAGTATAAGATGCCCGAATGAGGCGTTTGCCTGGCGCTCTCTGATAGAGTCAAGTACTGGGGCTTGATTCCACATGGGAAAGAATGAAAAAGGCATGGGTGGCTATTTACTACTGCACTCATAATATTCTTTACAGTTCTCAACAGGTTGAAGCTACTAGAGGAGACGAGACTAGTCAGAAAGATGGAGCGGAGCGATCCCGCTGTTCTCTCTGGACTCACTGGGAAACTGTTGCACTTAACGTCTTGTTTATCATAGGCACCATTGACATCATAGGTAAGGATGCTACAGCAAGGACAGCGGTCAGACTTAGACGGTAAGTAGAAGTTGGAAGCCAGCGCCGGAGAACATTTGCATGAATAGGTCTAACCTTTACGGAAGTGTTGATGAAGGAGTTTTTTGCAACGAGGCTTTAAGATTACATTAGTAGTTTTCCTGACATGTGTAGCCGCCATTAAAGAAGAAGTCGATGGGCGCCGTCGGAAAGAGAGGAAATATTTACGCTGATGGCACAGTGGCCATCAGGACCCAGGGTTTGCTCATGATGCGCTCTAAGCTAGTAGGAGAGTGGCTAACCTCCCTTTCAGTTGCGTTTGGTCTTTTTCTAGTCAGACTTATATGTATAGCGATGGCATCCTGGATTCGACCACGCTGACCAAAAAGAGATCAGGAGTACGCTTGACTACTTGCGAACTACTCTTGGACAGATGGGTCTTGTGTTAGCTTATAAGCTTTCATATTACTGGTGCAGGTTCGCCTTGTCAGGTCTAGCAGTGAATGAGGATAAGACACCTCCTAGCAGCACATAAAGATTCGTCGCGTACTTTGAAGCAGTGAAAGACTTTGCCTACCTAGGAACCAGTAAAACCACCACCAATGTCTACTGGTACCGAAGAAGAACATAATAATGGCGACAATTTTGCACCCGGCCAAAATCGACGAACGATTTTAGGGCCAGATATGTAGAAAGACGATTGGTATACATAGGTGCCCTGAAAATAACAATGTTGGACTTCCTCAAGCTAACATTAAGCCCGATGTGCTAACACCAGCTAGGTGTCGGTTAAGAAAGGCCTTAGAACATATCTTAAAACTCTCAATAACATATCCCCAATCGCCAAAGGCGCTGGCTTAAACTCAATTCATTTTCGTCTAATAAATATTAGTGATATCTTTTTAGCTTACCTGGTTTACCATTGGGACTATACGGATCGTAGCTGCCTGCTGACATCGGCGATGCGTAGCCATTCGACATATTCGCGCTGTAACTGTGGTTCTGCGAGCCCGGCGATGGGCTTAACGGTGGTGCTGAACTGGGCACACTACCCGGACTAGAGGTGGAAATCCATTCCTCGTTGCTTGGAGGACTGAAAGTATTAATTAAAGTCATAAATGAAATGAGAAGCGAGCGAAATTTATAGTTTCAATTGAAATAAATTTAAAATTGCCAACAAACCAAAGAGCGGCGCGTAAAAAAGTGTAGCGTAGGTCAAGGTCAACGCTGGTAAAATGAAAATATTGAACTCACCATTCCAAACGTGCGCGCTTGGGCACAAAAACTAAATGTCCATTGGCTGTGGAGCCACTGCTACTACCTGCTGCTGCCGCCGCAGACGATGAAGACGGCGTTGCGCCATGACTGCCGCCAGTGGTGATAACCAAAGTTCCACCCGCGCCACCGCTGGAGGTAGAAGCTGTTCCGGCTGCGCCACCAGCAACAACCAGATTTATGGTATTTGCATTGCTTAACGGACTCACAGCTATTGTTGTTGCGGTGGCATGACTGACAGCGCTCACCGCAGAAGACTTCTTGGCAGCAACGGAAATGGAAGTACCGCTGGAGGATGCCGCCGCTGACGGCAGTGTGTTGACAGTGAGTGCTAAAACATTGTTGTTGCTGTTGTTCGAGTTTGTATTCGAGTTCGGACTGGGATTGCCGTGATTTTTATTGCTATTGTTGTTGCTGTTGCTTAGAGTATTATTGCTGATGTGATTAATGCTAGTATTGCTGATTTTACTATGCGAGCCGCCATTGTTAACTAATGACGTTGACGTAGTTGCTGCCGGTGCCGCAGCCGCAGCAGCAGCTGCCGAAGTTGTCAGCGAAATGAATTCATGCAGCGGCTCCGCTTTAATGGCAGTCGAAATTATTTTTATTTTCTCCTCCACCGATGCGGCCATCACATTCGTTATGATGGTGGAGGGCGACTCAACACCAACACCACCAGCACCACCACCACCGATTGCAGCCGAGCCAAGGCTGAGGCTGGGGCTGGGGCTGTTGTTGTTGGCGTGCAGACGATGGTGCGCATGTGCTTGCCGCGGTTGATGGATGAGCGCACGTTGCTGATGGCCGCCATTCAGATCTAGCGCGCTGCCGACGTCACCACTGGCAATGGCAGCGACGCTAAGCAAATGCGTAGCAGCGATTGTAGCTGGCGGTTGATTGATGCCGGCCGCTGCAGCTGCTGCGGCAGCCGCCAATTGTTGCTGCAACAAAATGTGGCTGGGTATGACTGTTGTTGTTGTTATTGTGGAGGTGGCAGCATTCGTGGCCGACGACTGCGTTGAGGATTTGGCAGACGAAGACAACGACGATCCTGATGAAGAGGATGACTGCTGCTGAGATTGCTGTTGTTGTACATTTAAGCGATACATTGCGGGTTGCTGGGTCAAGCAACTATTCGACTAAGAAATAATTCGTTGACGGGTGACAAAAGATTCCTTTTTTGTGTAAGATTGTATGCTGATTGTTCAGAGCCCGTCAGCGTATGGATTTCACACATGTGTGGTTTTTGTTTTTTCGTTTTGTTGTTGCGCTTTTTGTTGTGTTTGCAATCGAGTTGGCATGCGAAACTCGAATCTGGCGCGACATTTTTCCCTTGCATCATTTACATTTCGGTTGTAGTCAATACAAAAGCGCAATACAAGAGTTTTGGGAAGATTTATTTGGGTATCATCGATTGGTCACCTATGCACTCACGCCATTCGGGATTGACCTAGTTAAACGGGCAATTGGATTTTTCGGCCACACATTCAACTGCAAAGAGAAAGAAAATTGGTATGCAATAAATAAAATGTTATTTCTCGGTATTTTCAAGTACATGGTAAAAACACTTATGTACATATGTAAATCTAATGGCATTTTATTTAACAAAATCGGCCATGTTTGATGTGTTTGGCCCAGCTAGGAATGTTAAGTAAACCGTAGGATTGTCGGAAAAATTAAGACAATAAATATGTAAATTGTTGGAAATCATTTTGCTTATTTAACCAAGCTTAAACGGAAAATACCTTTTACTATTTGACTCAAGAATAATTTTAGGTCGCTGATTCCACAGTTAACAGAAATTAAATCAGTATTCAAAAAGCTTACGCGCCCGGCACACTTGCGATTGGAGGGAACACTTCCCAGCGCTTTTGAATGGCGTCACCTTTGATGAAGTAGAACTCAGAACAATTGACGTATAAGGCCGATAACCAAGTCCCTCCACTCGATTAAAGCGAGGGGAGAGCGAGAGAACAAAACACTCTGAGCGGACGGTATACCCGCCTTTTTTGATTTTGCCCGCAGTATCGTGCGAGAAATAATTCATCGAAGATGGAAATAGTTATTTAT